TCCTCTGTCAATGATGGTTTACCTACCACCAATCCTCACTGCACCTCATTCAAGTATTGTGCCCACGTAAGTTACCAAGCTCTCCCTCCATGTCAGATGCACCCAAGAAAATACACATCCCAATGGCCTGTATGGCCTTGAGTTTTGTTTTTGGCTTAGGATATGAAAAGGCCTTCGCAGTTAAATCATTAACTAGTAACTTAGCATTATTACCAAATTGGTGTCCTAAATTCCATTTCTCAACTCTACTAAGTAACTCTGAAGCAGATAGAGCGATCTGCTCCTTTCGCAGTATGAAAAACCTCTCTTGCCTACTACACTATTTGATTAAAAAACAAAACAAAACGGGGGAGGGGTAAAGATATAAAGCAATCATTCCGCACAAAGCACCGGGTCATCGGTTGTGTTCCTTTTCCCCCTTTAACCAGAACGAGAGATTGCTTCGCTCATAAGAGTGCGAACCATAAGTCCCCACTAAAGCACGGCTGCTGTGGGAAACAGCTGGGCAGCTCGTCAAAGCGTGGAACGTCAAGCCACCTTATGAAGCAGCAGTCTCAACCTAGGATGTACCCTTCAAAGGTGGGCTCAGGATGCGCGGCAGCTGTACACCCCTGTTCATTGCTACACTGTTTTCAATGGCCGAAATGTGGAAACGGCCTAAGCCTCTATTACAGATGAATGGCTAAACCAAGTGTGCATGCACGTGAGGGAATACTTTGTGGGCACTAAAAGGAAACTCTTCCTGACAGATGCCACACCAGGAACGAGCCTTGAAAACAGGCTAAGCGAAATAAGTCTGTCAAAAAAGACAAAGGTCGTATGATCTCATTTGTATAAAATATGCAAATATATAGACTGCTACGTTTAGGGGCTGTGAACCACAAGGTTGAAGCCAAGATGGGGCTTTCTAGTCCTGTAAACAGTTACAGGGGCAGTTACCCTGTCCTCTAGGGTACCGGCGAGTGAGTGCCTGGATCCTTAGTGGTAACCAGGAAGGGACGAGAAGGGAAAAGGGCGGAGTCTCACGTACGGGTACTGCAGTTCTGTTAAGGATATTAGTCATTTGGAAAAGGTTAATGAGAAGGGCCTTCGGAACTTGAATGTAATCCCTGCCCCTCAATTGTACATGTAGACATTGCTTTTTAAAGAGCTTCCTAATTTTAAAAAATACCACAAGCCAAGACCAAAGACAAATAACAAACTGAAAATATTCATAAAAGATGGTAATATCCTGAATGCAGATAATTAATAATCCTTACAAATTACTAAGGGAAACATGAAAATCCCAGGACAAAGACTATGAACTGTAGTTGATTAAAAAAAAGCAGTAATATTTTATTTTTAAGGAAACAACGCACAGAAATTAATGTACAAGATATTCATCACAGCTCTGTATATAATAGCAAAAAATGAACATTTTTTGTTCAGATAAAGGGGAGTTGTTATAGAAATTAAGATAAATTTGAATGTGTAAAAAAGACAAAAACAACCAACCCCTCTCCATTATCATTCTCTCCTTCATCATGTAGTATCACAGAAGTTTTGATAAGTGTCATATATATACATATATATGTACATATATATATATATAGTTCTTGCTGACAGAAACTACATTTAGTCTCTAACAAGGTTGCATCATCTACAAAAAGAGAAAAATTGAAGCGTAGTACACATTAAGCAAGGGCTCTTAGCTGTGCATGTTAGAAACTGACTAGCAAAAAAATAAGTTCCTGAAAGGACTTTGTACAGTTTACATAATTTCCCAAAAGAAGGCAGAAGAGCTTTAGAAAAACAGGAAGTACAGGGAAGAAGTCAGGACAGCTATAAAACCACTTGGAAACCAAACTGGTGATGAACTGGCCTATGCCAGCACATAACAACAAAAAGCCACAAAAAACCAAGGTGTCCTGGTGGCACAGTGGGTTAAACATTGGGCTGCTAACCACAAGGCTGGTGGTTCAAACCTATCAGCCTCTGCTCTCCAAGAGACAAGATGAGGCAGTCAGCTTCTGTAGAGTTACAGCCTCAGGACCCCTATGGAGTTCTACTCTGTCCTCTAGTCGTGCACATTGGAACGAACTGGAAGACAGTGGGTTACAAAGCATCGTGACAGGTAATAAAAGAAATCGAACCGAAGGGACTGAAGCACAATCTCCTAGAGATAGGGTAACTGTACCAGAGGAACTGAAAGTTTTGGCAAGAGCTTGGTGCCCTAAAAGGCGAAAAGGAGGCCTGCCTGGAGGATTGCCCCCTCCTCCATCAGACTGGCAATCTATGGAATGTGACCTTTATTCTGCAGACAATAGAAAAAATGAAGTGAGCAAGATTCTAGAAGCAGGGACTGATTTCTTCTGAGGTGGAATATCTGGGTTGGACGACAAGTGTTTCTCGATGTTCTTTGAACACCCACCCATTTTTATTAGCACACATACCCTCACTTTGATATATTTTTTTCTCTCTGATATGTGCTTTAGGAAAAAGTCACAGCCAGGAATCACGCACCTCTGAATGCGTTTCACTCAAGATTCGGTCCAGCATTGGGTTTTTGTCCTTTGTAATTTTTTTTTTTTAAGCTTGCTTACTTTGGAAACACATGACACAAACGTCTTCCCCGGCTTCTTGAATGTTGATGGGGTCTTCTCCCTCTTACGCATTGCTTCTATTTTTGTCTTTATACTAATATGATCTTATCCTTACCATCTTAAAGAAACGTAATATTTAATATACTTGTTCAAATATCTTCCTGCCATCTTAACCCCACCTCTACTCTGGACCATTAGAGGACAAAATGAGTTCTAAAACGAAACCACTCCAGGATTTCAAGAATTACTTCATTTCAGAGAAGGAAAAAATGTTTTAGTATCCAGCGCTTTGCGGGAATCCTCAATATTCTTAGGTAAAACTCCTCCGGTGCACTTCCAAAGACCAGGAGTGCCCACGAGATCACTGGAAAGCGAGGCAACTTTCTGATTTCAAATCCAAGCGTTTCCTTCGCGAGGGCACTGTAGAATTGAGAAACAGTTGTCTGTCGGTGTTGTAACTCAGAAACGAAACCGGCGTCCTCTTCAGCGTGGGCGGGAATCATTTCCTAAGATTTGCTTGGAAGAATAAAGCACCGTCACTCACCCTCCCACCTCCAACCCCCCGTGCCGACGCTAATTCCGCATTTACATCCAGTAACAAAATAATTCGCTGCCACTTTTATAACCGGATGGGCTTTCGTTGCGTGGATTACAAAGGAAGGAGGTTAAGAAAGCGAGAGGTGCCTCCGGGTTTTGCTCGGGACCGGATTCAATCACCCGGGGGGGTTGCCAGCCTCTCACAGCCTCCGCCTCTCCTTTCTCCGTGTCCGGCCTTCCTCTTTCCCTTCCTTTCCCTTCCCACTTACTTTCCATTTCCACTTCCCTTTTCCGTGGCACACTGGTCAGGAAAAAGCCAGGGCGCGAGCGAAAGCATGGCGCGCGCAGGGCACAGAGAAGCCCTCCGCGTCCTCCTCGGACGCCGCAGGCCTGGGGGCTGGACCACGTGTCGACGGCCGGCTCCAAACGCACCAGGCGAACCGGCCGCCGGCGCCGTCACGCAACGGCACGCAGGGCTCCCGCCGGGCCGGCGCCCGCGCGCGCGGTCTCGCGAGATGGCCGCTGCTTCGCCCCGCCCCCGGCCCCCTGGGGGCTCACGTGACAGCGTGGGGGCTGGTGGCGCTGCGGGGAATCACATGATCGGCGAAGCCGTCGGCCGGGGGCTCCTTCCTGGCCTGCGAGAGCCGCGCGACGGGAGCATCTCCGTGCGCTGGGCCGCCGCTGTCTCCGTCCCGCCCCGACCCCGGGCCTCCGGGCGCTTTGGTTCAGTCCCTGCCCCCCGACTTTAGACAGATTGCAGGGGCGCCAACCGCCAACCGCCTCGAGACCCTCCCGCGCCGCTCGGCTCCCTCCTGCACCGGCCTTCCCGGCCCCTCGCGCCCATGGCATCCCCCGGCGGAGCTCGGAGGTGGCAGCTGCCCTTGCTGCTGCTGCTCGGTAAGGCGGGGGCGAGAGGGCAGCCGCTGCGGAGCGCCGCCGCCCCGCACTCAGGGGTCGCGGCCTACGGGAGGAGGGGAAGAGTCGGTCCAGGGGCGGCAGGGCCGTCGGGGTCCCCACCAGGCGTTGTCTGGGCGGCACTTGTTCGTTGCCCTGGTGAAGTTCGGCTCCGGGCCGAGCGGGGCTCTCCCGGGGCGGCGGATCCTGTCGGGCGGCGGCTGGGCTTGCAGCGGAGGGGTGTGGGGTTTGGGGGCTGAACCTCCCCGACAGGTGGTTTGGGAGTTAGAAGTCCAAGCACCCAAAATTGGAGGAAGAAAGGGTGTGACTTGATTGCATGAGATCTTAGTTGTAGGACATGGGTCCGCTCGGTTTTAGGGTTCGTCGCTTAGTCACCGATTCGTTTTTTCTTCTTCTGGGGTTTTAAGTTCGAAACGAAACTAATAAGTGGTTGTTCTGTGGTTTGGTAGTTTCAGAATAGCTGTAGTTGCTGGTTTAATTTACTGGCAAGTTTTGCTGAGGAGGCCGGGGTGAGGCTGTGCAACCCAAGATGGCAGGAACTTTGTGTGATGTCTCAATCGGCCTGGATGGGTGACCTGAATCCAGCTCCTTTACAACGGGGATGTTACTCAGAAGGAAATACAAAGGGTGGTGCAGTGCTTCTCAGCCTCTGAAAGGGAAATGCACTTTCCCCCCTTTCAGTATTTTATTGACGTGAATGAATTTAAATTGATTATCATATTTTAAAATCGTCTTGGGAGAAAGACTCTAAAGAGTTACCGGCTCAGAAACTCACAGAAGTGCTACCCTACCTTCCTAAGAGTCGCTGTGAGTTGGAATTGACTGGAGGGCAGAGTTTGGCTTGGTAAAATCGTCTTCTTTAAAAAATGTCATGCTGTTCCCCGGCAAACACATGGAGAGGTAAAACGAGGCTTCGGACACACAATGACCGTGTTTATTTTAGTTAAATAGCATTAAAGAGCATTGTTCTCTTTGCCCAGTGGCTGTGTGCTCGCTCCTGTAAGCCAGAATAAAGAGAATCCATTAGCACGTTGGGCATGTATAGAAAGTGTAGGACTGCAGGTGCTCAGCCAATATTTTATTGAGGAATTTTGCCCTCTTTTTCTGCACTAATAAAGAGAAATGTATGCTGCCTTAAACCAGTTTTCTGTCGACTCATGGTCAGATAAGCAAGGCAAACTCACTTGTGTCTGCTTACTATTTAGTGAACAATTTAACATGGGTCTGTGGTGAAACCCATATGGAATTGTTCACTGCAGTATAGTAAATAAGTATGGGGTGGGGTGCCCAGGCCTACCGTGCTTACTGGGCATTGGGCCCTGAGAAGGGAATCTAAATTTGAAGAGAGGTAATAACTCTCTAAGAAGGTGCTTTGGGGTTGGGAGACAGAAATGCCTGCCATACTTTGGAGCCGGACTTTTGCTGTGAAAAAATGTGAAATGGCTCACTACAGACTAACAAGCACAAGTAAAGCCCTGCTTACCTTATTGAGTAACCCAGCACTGCCTACCTGGGATCATGTGGTCACCTTGTGCTTCTACTGCATCTGCGATACACTGGCTAAACCCAGCAGAAATGTATGGAGTGCCTGATCAATGTACATTCCACAATTCAAGCCCTATTGTCAGTTGAGCCTATTATTCAAAGGCAGTCCTTTTAGAATTCAGCTGCAAATGTAAGTTGGACTTACAGTCTCTTTGGTTGTTTATTATAGAGTGAAGGCTATCGTTGGATTATCTGGTACAAATTTCCACTCATGATTAAAATGTACTATCTAGTTAACAGGACCATGTACTGTACACTTTGGTGACTGTCACTAACCTCAGAGTATATATGTATATATATGTATATAGTTGCCTTTTCTTTTGAAGACGTACTTCCTTAACCCATTCTAAAGATTGTCTTGGTTCATGTGGGTTACGTGAGAGGTGAGCTGGGCAAATGATTCATTCAAGATATGTCAGATATGTTCATTTCTCTGAGGGTGAATTTTATTTATAGTAAATTCAATCACAAGGGAAGGAAACACTGTTTCTATGCCCTCCCCACCAACCCCTTTTTTTCTCCCTCTTTTTAGCTTTGGTTTTAACCAAGAGGATGCCATTAGAAAAAATACCACTTGTCATTTAAACAAAGCAATTGATATTCTGGATTTTAAAACAATATGTAAATATTTTAGTCAAACAAACTTTTGCTTTTTAATTGAATATTTTTCTCATGTGAAATGTGTGCGGCCAATATAGGAATGAATATAATTGGCAGGAGGGGAAAATTGTTCTTCACTTTAAGAAAAATTACTAAAAAAAGCATAAATGTTATGGAAATCTTTGGTATTGCCTGGCTTACATCTTGAATATTTCACTTATAATGTTGAGGTGTATTTAATTGCAGTGCCATTTCCAACTGGTGAGATAGGAGTCAATTGGTGCTAGCCCATCAGCAAAGTTTCTTAATAACTTTTTTAGTTTTTCTCTGGTTGCGTGAATAGCTGCTCATAAACTTAGCTTTTAACTCCAGTTGCAATATACCTGTTAAAGAAGGTTACATTCAACTAAAAACTTAACATTTAAAAAGGTCTTTCAAAAATTTGGATTTAGGTCTATTTAAAGTAACAGTAGTTTGCCGAATAAGTTTTCCCTAAAATGCATCTTTAAAAGAAAAAAATTCAAACTTTAAAGTACTCTTTTCTCCTACATGTTAATTAGGAATCAAAGGTTCTTTTGCTTTAGCTACTTCGTTGACGGCACAGACAAACTTGATGCTAACCAGGTCACCTCCATCCCCTTTCAAAAGGAAGATGATCCCTTGGGGAGTTTGAAAGGCTTTATGCAAAATGATGTTTGCTGCCTTGGATTGTGGGGGTTGTCAGTTATTTAGATTGAAGGCCAAATTCTTCATTAGATTTGAGGTAAAAATGTTTTGAGGCCCATAATGATGTATATAGTTAAATCATATATATATATATGATTTACAATACATGCTTTTACTCAAGCATTAATTCAATTGGCTTTTGATTTAAAAAAAAAAAAGTGTATTCCATTCCTCAATTTACAGCCCAACTTGTGCATAATATTCCAGGACTCAGTAGTAAATAATGAAGAAATGTCCAATTTTGGTTAAATCTCTTAACCAAACATATATAACAAGCATATATAACTCTCTTTGGGAATATACAAACTTTGGACCCCCCCCCCCCATTAACCCTCCTACCCCCTTTAAATCATAGGTGATTGTTTTTCTTCCGTAGTTAAGAAGGAAAATATGGATTAAAACATAAACTCTAAACAAACTAGGGTGTGATTTCCTATAAAAGTTATTTCTATAAAGAATATTATTGACTAGTTCATTCAAGTGGCAAACTCATTTCAAAAGCAAATGTCTCATAATTCAAAGCATATTCATTCATTCAAATACTTGAGAGCCAGTAGTTCAGAGAATTTATTCTGGAGCTAATAACTCTCAGGGCTTTGAATCCCAGGAGCATGTGCCTCTGAGTCAGAAGGCATAGGTCCCAGATCTGGCTCTGCCATCACTTATCAAGCTGTGCAGTCTGAGCAAGTTACACAACTTTCCTGTTTCTTAGTTCCCACATCTGTGAAAGGAATTCAAAGTAGTGTGAACCTATTAGGGTGTTATTTTACTTCAATAAATTGCCAAGTGCTTAGAGCAGTACATGGTAGGCACACGGTAAGCACATTACTCTCAAAAACTAAATTCACTGCCTTTGCCTCAGTTGCAACTCAATATGACAGGATAGAACTGCCTTTGGGGGTTTCCAAGACTTTCCGAAAACTTTGTGGGAGTAGAAACCCTTGTCTTTTCCCTGGAAGCACTGCTGGTAGTTTCAAACTGCTGACCTTGCAGTTAACAACCTACTAGCCTCCAGGGCTCCTCAGCACCTTTGTAGTGCTTGTTAAATAAGAAACTTATTCATGTATTGAAGAGTAAATGAACCTGATAGATACGATCTGTACCTGTACAGAAATTAAAGCTCTAGTAATAATACTCCAAACTCACTGCCATCCAGTCTGCTTTCGGAGACTGACTGTTTGCGGGAGTACAAAGCCCAGTCTTTCTCCCTCGGAACTGCTGCTGGTTTCGAACTGCTGACCAGGAAGATTGAGGCCCAAGGTGCAACCACTATAATGAAGTAATGTCCAGTTTTGGTAAAATCTCTTAACCAAACATATAACAAGCACACATAACTCTTTAGGAATATACATACACACACCTGGGCTCCCAATATTGTAATACTTTAGTCATACTAGCGGTTATTAAAATGTCATCTTCTACTAAAGACCTTCCATTCACTGGCTCATTGAAAACACTGAGCCATCGAAGATGGCTGTACCCTTATCTCATTTGACAGGCCCCTACACTGAAGGTTTGCTCTGTCAGCTGGTGGGAGACGCTGGTGTGGACCTAGGTCTTGAGCCGAGAAGCACAGTTAGTTCTTCCTACCGCTGCACTCGTTTTAAATTGCTAAGGAGGAGTGTTTTGACAGAATAAGCAAAAACTTCTCCTTTATTTGACCCTCACATCCAAGTGAAAAAGCGCAAGACCTTAGCAGTCTTACACAGGCCAGGGAGTTGATGTGTTCTGGTAGGGACAGCCGGAAGGTGCTTGCTTGTGTTGAGCTTGTATTACCTAGGAATTCAATGAAATCACCCTAGACATTTTAACTACTTTGAGAAGAAAACTTTTTTTACCGATTACCACTTTCATGAAATAATAAAAATAAAAATAACACATATCAATATAATTAGCATAAATACATTTTTCCTTAGAATTGATTATACAAATACTCTAGACATTTTTCTCATTGACCCAAACTGGTTTTTAGTGATAAATTTCTTAATTTAATCATTCAAAACTACTGGGCCTGGGGTGGGGGAGAGAGGGAGGGGAAAAAGAGGAGCTGATAGCAAGGGCTCAAGTCGAATGAAAATGTTTTGGAAATGTTGATGGCAACACATGTACAAATGTGCTTAAGACATTGAATGACGGATTGTTATAAGATTTGTAAGAGGCCCCCCCCCCCAATAAAATGATTAATAAAAAAGACAAACAAAACTACTGGACCTTGCAGGATAGACATGGGCCCACCTAGTGCTGCTAATGCTTATCTCTTTTTTTTAATCGTTTTATTAGGGGCTCATATAACTCTTATCACAAGCGAATGCTTATCTTAAATGTGTTTTGGTGATACTCTTTGCTTTCCTTTTATAGTTCAGCTTATGTACAAAATCACAAAAATTGTGATAGAAAAGTTAATGTGTGTTCCTAATGTAGTGCTTTGGGATCATTAAAAATTTTTAATGATTTAGAAAGTTATTCCAGTAATTCAGTGTCACCTCATTTTCTTTTTTGGGTTTTTTTTTAATCCTTTTATTGAGGGCTCATACAACTCTTATCACAAGCCATATACATCCATTGTGTAAAGCACATTTGTACATTCATTACCCTCATCATTCTCAAAACATCTTGCTCTCCACTTAGCTCATTTTCATTTACTGACCTCAAAGTATGCTTAAGTCATGTTCACACTTGCAATGCAAATTAGAACCGATCACAGCGTGTACACCTTCCTGAGAAGGGCCGGCACTAACTTGTAGCCGCCAAGACAAGTCATGGCACATGGTTTCTGCGCCAGTTAGGCTGTGCAATGTGGCTGGCACTGTGGGTTTACAAGCGAAAAAGGTACTTTTGCTTCTTTTAAAAAAAAAAAATGTCAATAAAACAAGCAACTTATACAATTAACTTCCCTACTATAGTGATGAGATTACATCTCAACCACAGGGCTCTGGGGCTAGAAAGAAGCCAGAGATGGCCCTCAAAGAATTTACTCAAAGCGAAAGTCCTTCGAGAAGTGATCACTGTAAAGTTTACCGGCCCTTGAGACCGTGCCTTCCTCTTCTGTCCCTTCATCTTAAGGCCACCGGTGGCCGCTGTACCGAGAGAGGTTGAGTGTGCCTAAGGTCACACAGGTGCAGTTCAGGTCAAATATAAGCAATCAGTAACTTTGAGGACCTTTTGATATTGAGAAAAGAGCCCAGGTATTGAGGCTATTACCTTTTTCACCACATTACCATTCCAATAATAGTAAAAACATCAAACTTTTATGTACAATCTTTTAAAGACTACGGTGAAAGATAGCACAAGCTCTTCTGTAGAACCCAGGGATTTCTGTAGAAGATAGATACTCATTTCGACTGTGATGGGCAGGGTTAAGTTATGTTTTAAAGCGCCTCCCCCCTAGGTTGTAGAGTACAATCCTGTGAGGATAGATGCTTACCGTTGACCCAGAAATCTGATAGGAGCTTTCCAGACCAGTCTTTGGAAGGAAAACATTCAATAGCTCCAGAGCAGTGTAGCAAACTGATCGGGTGGCTAGGTGACATTTTCAAAATCTTGCCCTGGATGGGGCAGAAGACTTAAGTAAGCTGGCCCGTGTCTGGGTGTCTTCTTTAGTGCTTTGAGAAGCATGGTGGAATCTTCCAATACAATTAACGATTGCTACATGCTGTGAAGGCAGCCCTGCCCAATGTCTTTTCAGAAAGGTGTTTATTTGAGTGCTCTGTCTTTCTCGGAAATGCCAGGCCTCGTGCATGGTGCATCAGCATCCGTGTTTGTGGTGAAGAATGGCAACGGGACAGCTTGCATCATGGCCGACTTCTCAGCTTCCTTCTTAGTGAACTATGAGACTAAGAATGGTTCTAAGGTAAGAAACCCCAGCGTTTTTGCTTTGAGAAAAAGAGAGAGAATGTGGGGGTGAGTGAGTGAGATTTTATGATTTAAAAATTAAATCTTTGCTAAGAAATCTCCTTTGAACATGGTTCTTTTGATGAATGCGTATCCCTTTCTAGACTCATCAATAACATGCAGTATTCCATGTGATGCAGCTGCAGTCATAATGAACAAACCAACTTGTGTTCAATTTTTTTCACTATTCTATCATGAACATTTTATAGTTATCTTTATGTAATTGTGTTTTTTATAATCACAATTTAATATATAATTAACCATTTCTGTGAGACCTGATGGTTAACCATCAGCTAACCATAATCTGTGAGGCCACACTCCTTTTGTTAGTTGGTCAAATTTTAAAATAATTGTTTATTTTTTTAAATAATTGTTTTCAATCCTCAGTGAACTCTGAATGTAAGGGAGGTATGTGTCAGAGAATTGGGTGAAAGTTTACAGAGCAAATTAATGTTTATTTGACAATTCACACATTTTGTTTCATGGCATTGATTGTAATCTCTACAATGTAATATCGCTTATCCCACTTGCAGTTTTCATCCTTTGTTTTTGCTTAACACTGGTATGCATACCTCTCATACTCTTAAGGTGCTGCTGTTCCCCTTACAGACCTGTCTATTGTTTGGCTGAAAACTGAGCCGTGGGGGTGAGTTCATTTCCAGACTTGTAGATGATGAAGGGCCATTGTCTCTTCCACTGGTCTTTATCTGACCAGTAAGCTTGGTCGTTTTTATGACTTTGGACTTTAGTCTCACAATTTTCTCCCACTCTATTCTAGACCATTTAATGCAATCCCTTAGCAGGTGGTAATGGTGATCGGAGACCATCTAGTTCTGGTCTCAGGGGCGTGAGTGAAGGCTGTTTGTGTGGTCTATTAGTCCATTGGACTATTTTCTTTTGACGCTGATTTTCATCACCCTTTTCCTCTGGACACGGAGAGACCAATAGTTGCACGTTCAAGGACCCACCACTCACAAACTTTTAACTCCTCATCTGCTACTCACCAGTGGGATATAGAACATTGTCTTTGTGGACTGTGTTAAGACAGTTGACCTTGGTGCCAGGACCCCAGATCCAGGGCCTCATTCCCTTCAGGTATTTGGTTATGTCTAACAAGTTTCCCTAACTTTACTCCCTGTATGCTCCACCACATTCATGGATATATTTGCAGCATAGGTAAATACGCATGTAGAAATGTCCTTGGTCAAACACGTGTATTATATAGATATGCATATTCTCCCTCACATACCCGTTCAACTATTCTGTTTGTCTACGCATCTATTAGTCGATCATTATTTGTTGCAGGATTGGGTGTAAAACATTTATAACCATTGTTGTCTTTATTCTTCCACTCCTTCCAAGTCTTCTGCCACCATCTTTTCTTTCTTTCCAACCTCTTTCTTATAGTATACCGTCTTCTTTTTCACCCAAGCTCACACCATCTACCCTCCAGCTCAGTGACTTGTCTTCCTTCTTCCTGACTTTTTATAGTAGTGGTCTCATACAATATTTATCCTTTGGTGGTTGACTTATTTCTGTCAGTGTGATATCTTCTAGGTTCATCCATGTTAACTCAGCGTTTTGCAGATTGATTATTGCTATTTAGCATTCATAGGGTTCCGTTGTGTGTGCGTGCCGCAGGTAATCTGTTCTTCCATTGATGGGCATTTAGGTGGTTTCTGTCTTCTTGCTATGGAATGTAGCGTTCTTGAGCTATTGAATTTACTTTGGATAAGTTATTAACAAGTTGCTGTCACTCTCACTCCAACCCCTGGTGATCCATGTATATCTGAGTAAAATTGTGCTTAGTGGAGTGTTCCCACACTGATTTTGGAGAAGGAGGCCGGCTCCCACGGTGCTTCTGGATAGATTTCAGCGTTTGGGTTAGCCAGCTGACTACATTCACCCTTTGCACCAGGAAGGACTACTAGATGAATAACTCCGCTCTAGGAAATGTATAGAAACAGCCATTTGAGTAGGGACACAAATACTGTGCTCCTTTGTTCTTGACCTTAGTTGTTTTGCTTAAACTTTGTGTGTAGATAACTTCAGTAAAGGTTTTTGCATCTTCTAGATTTCTAATAAATGGCATATATTTTTGTTTGTATTTCTCTTCATGGGCGTTTAATATATTCTAGTTAATGCATACACTTGTAAATATATTGTGCGTCATATTTTACTTCTTCTGTTGAAGTGATCATTTTCGGTACTTGCCGTATTCTGTACTCCCTGCTTGTTCTCTGACAGCAGGTGCAGAGGCCAGGCTTGCTGGACTGATGAGACCTTCCTGCAAAACACTGAATCTTGTAGTAGCCACTCAGGCCTTCCTAATGCTATTTGTAGAGTGTGGGCTCTATTAAGATAGGAGAAAACTGGATGGATTCTGTTTTCATGAAATCTTTTCAAATTCGAGACACTTGGCTAAGCATTTCTTAAATTTCTGCTTCACTCATTTGGTGTTTGGATTAAATTATGTTAGTTTCTTCCACAAATGACCATACTTACATTGTTAAATGCTTTACTGTTTCACAAAAACATGTTTTTGTCAACCCACATAGTTCTCTTTCTTTTTCAGGACTGCATTAGTATGTGACTCATAGCTTTTAAAAAAGTTCAAACATGCAATGATATAAATTAGCAAGAAAAATTTGTTTTTTAGCCAGAAAAATTTAGAATGTCTATAGGAATTGAGTGATTGTAATTATGTTTGCTCTAGGTTGCGCACTTTGACCTGCCATCAGATGCAGAAGTACTCAATAGCAGCAGCTCCTGTGGTAAAGAGAACGCTTCTGAGCCCCGTCTCATGATTGCCTTTGGAAGAGGATATAGCCTGGCACTCAATTTCACAAGGGATAAAACCCATTACAGTGTCCAGAGGCTAAGTTTTACTTATAACTTGTCAGACACACATATTTTCTCCGATGCAAGCATTGAGGGTAAGAACCAAATTAGCAAAATTGATAGTTCTAAGGTGCTGGAAAATCAAGTTGAGAATTGTCTAAAATTACTCTCACGAAGTACTGCAAGTAGTTCAAAATTCTGTTGTTGCTTTTTATATATAGGAACCCAAACTCTGGAATTCTCTACTGACATCAGAGCAGACATAGATAAAAAATACAGATGCATGAGCCGCAACCCGATGCACAAGAATAATGTGACAATCACACTCCATGATGCCACCATCCAGGCATACCTTTCACACGGCAACTTCAGCAAGGAGGGTAAGGTCCGTCTCCTGGGAGCCATTTGTCTGACTGCGGCAAATGAAAGCACTCACTCTCCTAATAGCTGTGTGCAGAAGCATCCATACAGCCAGGGACCAAGTCGGTGGCTCAAATCCTGCAGTCCCGTTTTCTTCCCTCGTTGTGAGATGGTGACCTCTGGAAGAGGGGCATGCATCTTGATTGCAAAGGGTGGAAGGGCTAAGCAATGGAAACCACCCCTGCAGTTTTCCTTGCTAGAGCCCATGAGATCAGGGTCACAGGATCTCTCTCACTTCAAGATAGTGAGCTTTACACAAAGACACAATTCTGATCTCAGTCTCAGCTCAGGCAGGCTTAGGGACAGGTGGTGAGGAAGCACCAGCCCGGCTGCCCTTTCTGATGAGTTAGTGACCCAGTACAGGGTCTGTCTTCTAAGTCAGCTGGTGAGGCAGTTATTTATTTGTCCTCGGTTCAGGTTCATCCAGAGGCTGAGAACAGGGATTCTGTGATCAGGGGTCCAAGCAACTTACTAGCTCTGTGATCTTGGAGAAGTTAAGTCACCCTTACCAAATCAATTTACTACCCTTGTGATATAAAAATAATAATCCATTTTAGAAGGTGAGTAATTGGTACAGAGGCCACATCTGACTTCTAGCTGTAAGAGGGAGGAGGAGAATCCGACTCCACACAAACCCAAGGCAGAGGGCAGGCAGGGCTCCACCCTCCCTCTTTTCCTGCCCTCCCTCCAGCCGTTTCTCCCTCTACTTCTCTGCTCGTGTGGATAATTCGATGCAATGGCCACATGGGACTCACAGACAAAACCCATAATTATGGAGGCTTGTTAGGGAGATTAGCAGGTTACCTACCGCATGTCAGGATCAGGATCGGTACAGAGCAAGGATATCATCATTGGTCTGTAGCAACACTTATCACTCAGCCAGCAACCCAGCTTGATCTTCCTTCCAGAACAGCAAGGCTGGTAAACTTCTTCCGGCTTGGTAGAAGGTTGTACTAAAATAAAAGTTCATTCTTCGTGTTGAATAAAAAAGAAAAAGGGTGGTCAGTGGTAACCAGAGGTGGGGGTACTTTCTCGCACCGAGGACCAGTTGGACTCGCTTCCCATTGCTCAGCTTGTGGGACTGGTGAAAGGGCAGACTAAATGTGAGCAAGGTGTCAAGAACCTAGCTTTATCTTATATTACTTTATTAATCATTTTATGGGGGGGTGCTTACAGATCTATGATAATCCATCATTCAATTATGTTAAGCATACTTGTACATACATCGCCATGAACATTTTCAAAACATTTCTTTCTACCTGAGCCCTTGGTATCTCCTCCCCACCCCCTGCCCCACCCGTGAATTCTTGATCAATTATATATTGTTATTTCGTGTCTTACACTGTTTGTTGTCTCCTTTCTGTAATGTGTCCCCCTGGGGGGAGAGGGGGCTATATCTCCAACCTTGTGATGGGTTCCCCCTTTTTCCCCCTTGCCCCCACTCTTACTTCTACCGTCCCCCTTCCCTCATGACACCACTACTCCACTAATGTACCTGAGCATTTTATCTGTCCTGAATTCCATGTGTCCAAAGCTCTTACCTGCGCCAATGTGTGTCCTCCGGTCTAGTGAGGTTTGTAAGGTAGAACTGGGTCGCAGTGGGGGAGGGGCGGGGAGTACTCAGGAACCAGAGGAACGAGGTGTATTTCATGGGTGCTACACTGCACCCTGGAAGAACCTAGTTTTGAGGTTGCTGGTGCCGTGCGTCTTGATTTTTAGACTCTTCATGGTCATCTGCCATAGTAGGCCTGCCTGTCTGCTGCTGTAGAAGATATTGAGCTGCCTTTCTACTTTTAGATCTGTATGTCTTAATTTTGAATATACATGTCAATCTAAAGCATTCTGAATGTGTACCAGTTAATATGAGGAGCTGAACTGACTTGTCCATAGGGGCATGGGGTGGCTAAGACAGCTAAGACGTGAGGAGCCTCCCCTGACCTCCTGCTCTACCCTCCCTCCACCCCAACCTCCCTGGACTGGACTGAGTCTCTCCTTTCAGGGTCTTCACATACTCAACACAACATGTGCTCCCCCCTTCTCCAGAAACGAGACTGCTTGCCCCAAACTACTGGTTAGCTTCTACTTACCTTTTACCTGTTTTCAATTGGGAGTTAATGCATGTATCATTCTATTGTTCAGTCATATCGAGCAGTATTGTACACTTGCTACCACAGTCCGCTTCAAAGCAGTCTTTTCCTTCCTGGACTCTGATCATCTCTCAGTGTCAACTTCAGCATCAAGTCCGCCGAGCAGCCCGCCTGGCTTTCCTCTCTCTCCTGCCCTAGAACCTCCTCAGCTTTGCGCCCTTTTATTTATAGCAGGACACTTTGTACTTATGTGTTTGTGTGGTTAATGTCTGTTTCTTTTCCTGTACTCAAGGGGCCTTTTGTCACCGTTTTCTTTTCCTCACGGATCTTTTCTAGCACAGAACACGACACACACTGAGAGCTGATGATAGCAGGTGGGATTTTCCCACCATTTTAAGTGGCTGGCTAACTAGCATGGCCTTCCTGAGCGGGCTCAAGGCATTCTTCTTGACCTCTGACATGTAAGGTGGCCATGCAGAAGCAGCAGGCCTGGATGAGAGGTAGCGTCCCCAATTGGAGTTGTCAGCTCACGGAGAGCAGTACATTAACCAGGCTTGGAAACCTCTCTCTGCAGCTCTTGTCAGTTAGTGCTGTAGGACAGTCACGTCTTGATACCCCGAGGCATCTATTTATTGTAGGTAAACGTGTTCTTTCTGTCCTCATCATTGAGGAAACTATTGGTGATGCTTTGTCTTTGAGAAAATTGAGAAAACAGGCCATTTTCTGAAGGCCTTCTCGAGAGTCTGCCAGTGTATGCATTGAGTTCAAAGAGTGATGTCAGTGTTCAGGTCAGAGCTGGGCTCTTGTTATAAGGATTGATACCTATAAGAAAGCTAGGTTTCAAATTTCCTTCCTGTGCACCCCGTGATTCACTTCCAATGTTCCTCCAGAGACTCGCTGCAAGGAAGATGAACCTTCCCCCACAATAGCACCAAGTCCAAAGCCTACAACCCCTTCGCCTTCTCCAGCGCCAGAAAACCCATCAGTGTTTAAGTACAACGTGACTGGCAGTAATGGAACTTGTCTGCTCGCCAGCATGGCCTTACAGCTGAACATCACCTATGAGAAAAAGGATAACACGGTATGTAGAGACTCTGGCCACAGCATCTTGTCTGTGTGCATCACGGAGTAGCCTGTTAGTGCAAGTCAGAATCGTGGAAGCAGTCAGACTGCAGAGACGACCATCATACTAGGATGGGTATTGCTGATCCTGGGGTAGGGCTGTCTGGCTGAGACGAAATTGGGTCAGTTTTCCTGTTGCTGCTAATAGAGGCCTTAGAAGTGGGAGAATATTATTTGTGCCCATTATAAAGATAGGTTGAAGTTCTCATGAGTTGGAGTTTATAAGGAACAATGCTATAGTTATTACAAAGCCTTTATCATCAATATGGTTATGAAGAATGCTTACGTAGCTGCTGGGTTAGCATCTATCTACACGACTGTATCATCAGCCGGTTGGTAGGAATGATGTAATGCCAGCACTTTCTCATCTGATAAAACATTGCAACAGGTTATTAGCAGTGACTGAAAATGCTCATGGTAACTACAAAAAGAAGATATTTTAAAAATCAGTTGATAGATGGGTATGCAACTTTGTGGAAGTGTGTTGTAAAGAAGAAGAACCAGTGTTCTGATTTTGTAACTAACCTGACTGGAACACAGCCCTCCCCTTCTGTTTTGATGGATCCTCTGTGGCGGGCTTCCTCTGGAGCACTGGGCGTTGAGTAGTGGGCCCACGGTCCAGTGTAGTTATCATTTGGCGCTCTTCAGAAAAAATGGACTGACACCATGGTCTGGAATGTTAAAGTTGACTAAACGCACAAGCGTGTAAGTGTTGTTTGTAGACTTTTCATTTGGAATCATCCTTCCTCCCTGACTGGCTTGTTTGCCATGGTTTTAAATGTGTGCCTTTGACGGGCTGAGAAGGAGACGGGGACCGGGCTGCTCACACAGTTGCACATCTTCCTGGACGTAGTGGGGAGGAAATGCTTTGGAACCAAGACCATTTGGCAGTAGTGGGAACATGCAGTGCTTCCCTCCGGTCTCAGTTACAGCGCACATGGTCGCAAGTTCCTGGTGTGGGGTGTGTTTATGACTTTCTGGAGTGGAGGCACCCGAGGCATAGAAACGGGTGGCTAACCTGTTTGCGTTCTGCACTCAGACTGTGACCAGAGTGGTCAACATCAACCCGAACAAGACGAGCATCAGCGGGAGCTGCTCCCCTCGGGCGGTGACGCTGGAGCTCCGAGGAGAAGATGTCCATCTGCTTGTCTTCAGCTTTGGGATGGTGAGGCCTGTGCTCTTTCACACTCAGGAGGATTTGGGTATCAGAGGGGCCTTCGTGTGGAATTCACTTTCTAGTCTTCCACCCCTCCTTTCCCCTCCGTCCGCGTACTTGATAAAAGCAAGAGACCCTGATGGCACATTGGGTTACACTTTGAGCTGCTAACTGCAAGGTCAGCAGTTTGAAACCAGCCCCTCTGTGGGAGAAAGATGAGGCTTTCTACTCCCATAAAAAGTGACAGTCCCGGAAACCCACAGGGGCAGTTCTGCTCTGACCAGAGGGTCGCGGTGAGTCGGCATGGACTCAATGACAGTGAGTGGGTATTTTTTGATGGAGCACCTAGCAAGCATTACTATATTTTTTCCTTCAGAAAGTCAAGGCTGCATGTGGGGTGGGGGTGCTGCCTGAGGTGACTGAGTCTGCGTACAGACCGTCTTGCTGGCAGTCCTAAAAGTTACAGCTTGCCTGAAGAAAAAAGAAGTCTTCCCTTCCACCCCCCCCCCCCTCTGTCCTTATTTGAAGATCTTTTTGGTCCCCTAGCTCCCCACTTTTCCTTTGTTGGCCAGTGCCGGAACAGACATACATGGCACTCAGTGTAAATACTTTGAATGTGCTGGTCATGCAGTGAGCGGCAGTTGGTTTCTTGTACTTTTAACGTCTCTAGTAATGTTTTCTGTGCTATTCAGAGACACTTGGACTTTGCTCCTTCAGCCTACTTGCTAGCAGACTTCTGCTTTGGGTTTTCAGGAGGTTCTGCAATGAGCTTTCCCAAATTGCTGCATCCTTCAGAGTTCCATGATGCTCTTTACGTGCAAACATTTTCCACATTCGTTCTAAAGCCAGCAATATGGGACAGTCAAATTTACCATCAAGTAGTTTTTCAGTCTGAGCAAAACCCCAAAAATCTGGTCCCCTGGATTCAGGATTATCTCCTTTCTCTTTAAGAATACAAGTTCCAGCCGTTTCTTCTTACAAGGAATCCAGTTAAATACCACCCTTCCTGATGCCAAAGGTAAGACTCAAAACGCAGATCAAGTGAATGCCCCTCCCCACCCAAGATTTCCCAGAATAACCAGACCGCTCTGATGCATTTGCAGAGCCCGCTTTTAAAGCTGCCAACAACTCGCTGAGAGCACTTCAAGCCGCCGTTGGGAATTCTTACAAGTGTAATGCCGAGGAAAACATTCAAGTCACAAAGGCTTTTTCAGTCAACGTTTTCAAAGTGTGGGTCCAGGCTTTCAAGGTCACAGGCGATGAGTTTGGATCTGGTAGGTCGCATTGAGGGTGGTGGTCGGAAGGGAAATGTTGAAAACTTGTCCACAGCCCAGACATTTGGTGGTTCTATTTTGACTATTTAATAGCTTCTATAGGGGTGCAGGCAGGTGGGCGGGCGTGAAGAACACCCTCTTTCTCTACAAAGGACTGCTTGCTTTTTCCTATCAGAAAATTCCGGAGCAAATTCCTATTCCTGTTTCCCTGTTTTAGAAAGATCCAACATTAAATAACAAAGATAGAACACATGACACTATTTAAGAATACTGCTATTTTAAGAAATAGTTGTGGCTCTTCCCTTTGTGAAAGTTGAATATAAAAATGTACCAGGGTGAGTCAAAAAGTATTGCTGCTGGGGGCTCCATTTATCCATGCTGGGGTTTATTCCAAGCAGAATGTATTTGGATAAGTCTCTGATTGTGGAGACCTGTTCCCTCGGTAATTCACTTGCTTTAGTGACTTTTTTTAGAGTGCCTTCCAAAAAAGTTTTTGTGCAACAAGAAAAAATGGTTTCCAGAGTCAGAGCTCATACTAAGTCCGTAACAAAAGTCAAATGAACATCTTTCCAAATCGTTGATTGTCTCCACCAAGTGTGCAGGAATGCTGCCCTCACATTAAGAGGACGACATCTTTTACATGGCTCACGTGCTTTCAGGAGGGTCGGGAAGACCTCAAAGATGGCCTTAAGACAGGGATCAGCTTAGGCGGCTAAGGCAACTGTGAAGGGCCTGGGGGATATGCAAGGGATAATCTAGGTACAATTTCTGAAAGACTATCCTGGGGCCTAATTATGAAGACATTCAAGAAAATTGAAAACTGTCTTGGTGAGAAAAAGGTCAGAAAAGCCTCACCCAAGGAATTTCCCTGTCAGGATAATGCCACCTGCTCGTTCTTCCAGGGGGTCAAGGGCTGCCCTGGGGTAGATGTCATTGGGGACCACCCTTCATCTTCCTTCCTCTGTCCAACTGCTCTAGTCCTCCCTGTTCCCCAAGTTAGAAAGCCTTGCAAAGGACCACGGTTTGGCATCCCCTGAGGGGGCCCCTAGTGCTTTTTTGGGTGCGGTGTAAATCGCAGAGGGCAGCTCCGTCCAGGGGAAGGGCAGAGTAAGGGAGCACCGCCACCAGCGCGGAGGACGGGCTCCGAAACAATAGCTTTCCGTGCTGGTGTTTTCGTATGAGGCCGCTCTCTGTGGTTATGTAACAATACTCTGACTGAGTCTTGTGTCTGTCTGATGTGCTTAGAGGCCCTGCGAGTGTGGGGCACAACTGACCGGCTGCACTGACCACCGAGTGGCAGGTGTTGGGTTTTGACTGTGGGTCCAGGTTGCTGTCAAGTTGATGGAGAGTAGAACTGCCCATGGGGTCTCCTGGGCAGAGTTCTTGACAGATCCCATGGCCAGGTCCGTCCTGGGAGTGGCTGGTGGGTTCTAGCTTTGGCTCCTTTCTGGGACCCTCACTTCCTTCATCTCATAGCCAGCCAGAAAGCCCCATCCTTCCTCTTCGGGGAGATTGTTCGTTAGAACTTGGACTCGGCTGCCTGGGTTTTGTGTTCTTTCCCCGGAGGGAGGGTGGGCAGAGGTGGGAGGAGGGCGGCATCGGCGGTTGGGTTGGTCCTATCTGTTCGGCAGACACACATGCGACCCTCCCTGCGATGCCTCTTGTTTTTCTTTTCAGTGGAGGAATGCCCGCTGGACGAGAACAACATGCTGATCCCCATCGCCGTTGGCGGCGCCCTGGCAGGACTTGTCCTCGTCGTGCTCATCGCTTACCTGGTTGGCAGGAAGAGAAGTCATGCTGGCTACCAGACAATCTAGCGCTGCCCTGGGCCTCCGCCACCGTAGACCAGCGGCACTTGCCAGAGGTCAATAGTCATTGTCCCCGAGCTTAAATTGGTATTGAGAGGGAGGCATACTTTCTTGCAAACTGTTTTCCAAGTCTGCTTTATCAAATGTGAAGTTCATCTTGCAACATTTACTATGCACAAAAAAGTAACTATTGAAATGACGGTGTTAATTTCGCTAACTTGGTTAAATATTTTGCTAACTGGTTAAATATTAATATTTACCAAAGTAGAACTCTAAGGTTAAGGGCAAGAGTGCTTTTCTATGCTGGCACTAACTCCACTCTCTCTCCTGACTCCCCGAGATCCTGGTGTCTGGTTTCTTGGTTCCTTCATTTGTGTTCAGATTTAAGCCTTCCGAAGGGAAATCTGGGACTCCACGCGTAGAACTCACGACGGTTAGCTAACTGCGGGGCTGACACGGGCAAGAAATTCAAAATCATAGAGAAAGAGACTTTCACATATTCCAAAAGCTGAAAATAGACAAAAGCTTAAATTAAGCTTTTGATGGCCAGGCCTGGCCCGTTTGGGACCGAACAATTCTGCATTCAGGCATTACAGCATTAATTGGGCGTCTCCTTGGATATTTTTGATGCTCCGCCGCTTAAGAGCTGGCACTTTTTTAAATTAAAGAAAGGGGGGAGGGGGTGTTGCTTTTATTTACTTTTTTTGTAAAGTGATTTTGGCCTTCTGTTTGAGGTTCAGGGTGACCCTATTTCTGCACTTGTGTACAGTATAGATTTCACTCTACTGATTGATCTGCTTTCAGCTTGGTTGGGGTTGTACACTTTAAGGGTCGGTTCATATGTAACGCATTGCCTGTAACAATGCTAATAAAAATTCTCTTTCTTTCTTTGTCTTGGACCCAGTCCTTTTGTCAGCAAAAAAATGAGAGCTCTTAACAAAACAGTGTTAAGTATATTCTTTAATTCTGTTTTTCCCACAAACTTTTTGAAGCCCCCTCATAAGTATATGGTGGGGAAGGGTTAAGGCTGGTCTGGGCAGAGGGATGCCTGGGTGTAGAAGGGTGGACGTGGTACCATTCTTTGGGGTGGTAGTGGGAGGAGAACATTAGCTGTCTCAGCATCAGCCTGAAATTGGCGCTCTGGCCCAGTTCTCTGTGGGCCCACATTCCTCCGTACCATGAGTCGTGTACAAGGAAGCAGGATGGAGTGAGCACGGGCTTCCCGTATTAGACATTGCAATCCAATCTCAGAGACCATCGGACCTGCTTTATTGCCCTCGGGTCAGTCATGGGGCGGATGGATGTGTCTGTAGGGTCTTACTCTTAAGGACCTCCTCCTCCGGTCTTTATAAGTTTAATGGGCCTTGCTGTGCTTCGTGAATTGAGAGTGCAATAGTCACCCGACTGGACAGAAGAGCAGGCTGCTGTTCCACAGGCTTTTCTAGGCTGCCTCATATTCCTGCTAAACTGCTGCTGGTGGGTTCAAACTGCCGACCTTGCAGTTGTGCTTTCAGCTGCGTGCTTAACCACACCCTGTCACTAGGACTCCTTTAAAAAAAAAGCAAATAACAACTCAGGAAGCCCTTATTTCAAATCTAAAGAAAGCCAATAAATGCTTGAAGGCAGGCATGTGGTTTTGGAGGCAGGACCTCTCCTGTAACAATGCGCTGGAGCCCTGGGGGCGGGTTGCTCACTGTGGCCCGCTAACCACAAGGTCTCTTGCATTTGAAAGCCCCAGCCGCCTGAAAGACCAGGCACTCTTCCCTGCCCTGCAGGGTCCCTGTGAGTCCTAATCCTGTTTTTGAGCTTTTTTTTCCTTCTTTTAAATACTGCCTTTCACCTGGCTTTCTGCAACCCCAGCTCAATCAGGTTCCGCAGGCAGCAGAGCTGTCCTGCACATTGTGGGCAGGAGCGGAGGAATGTGCTCCTAAGCGCTTTGTTTCATTTTTTAATAATTAAAAAAGCCCCAAAACACGACGGTAGCAGAAGGCTGAGAAAAGTCTGCCAAGTAGCCCCTGGAATTTTATTTTCTTCCCCTGACTGACCTGATCAGGTATGTACTTGCAAGGACCAGATCCCAGAAGCTGCTGACCACGGTGGATGCTACAGTCAAGCTTCAAGATTTCCCCAGTGGATCTGCACTCAAAAACATCATGTCTGCTTTTGATGAGAGAGCCCTATGGTTTATATATTGCTGGGCCCAGCCTTAATGAGTTTTAGCAGTTCTTGACCACAATCATTAAGATGAGCTCTTTGCCTCAACCATAGTTTGAGGAGGGTAGTGAAGGCTACCAAGGTTTTAAACGGAGTGAGCCACCCGCCTTACACCAAACCAGACTGCCCTGGAGGCAGTTCCTACTGGCAGTGCAACTCTAGGACAGGCTAAAAGTGCCTCGGTTTCCGAGACCCTCTCTATGGGAATACCAGTGCCACATCTTTCTCCGTTGGAGCACTTGGTGGTTTCAAACTGCTGATCTCGAGGTTAGCAGGCCAGTGTGCAACCCCTACGCCACCAGGTCTCCCTGCCTTCAGGCACCCCAAAGGCAGGCACCGTTGTTTCCCTGGCAGAGGCAAGGCCGTGATGGGTGGTGGTGAATGTGCTCGTACACACGAGGATTGCTGCTGATGGTGCCGGACCTGAGAGACTCGGTCAACAGTCCCTATCTCCAGGAGCCCCACTCTTAGGAGTTCCTTCCAGGGAGTTTACGCGAATTTCATCCAACTACAGCCAGTGTGGGTGAGACTAACGTCTGGTTCATGGCCGCAGAGCTACCATGCTAATCCTGCCGCAGGTAGAGCATGTCTCACGGGTCTGGAGTTGAGCACTGGGAACCACACCTGCACGCAGGTAGCAGTGTGTGTTCTCAGTGGCAGAAGGTCAAAGTTTTCAGGCCCACCAAAAATACAGGTTTTGTAGCAGCAAGCACCACTGTACAATTAGCTGGGATGCTAAATCAGCCCATAAGCGTTTTGGACGAGCCGGGAATCAGGACCAACCCTTGAGCAGGTAATGCCGGTGATAAGCTACTCAGCCAACACAACTCCCAAGTCCTTTTGGTTTAGCTGGAGGAGGAGGAGGCTGGCTTCAATCTCCCAGCCTCAGTGATTCCCTGAGTTCTGTTTACATCCCCAAGCTCTGGGACTGACCCCGTCCCTGTAGGGAACTGTGATGTTCCACAGCCCGCCACTTCACTTCCTAGCAGTACATCTTTTAACAGTGAATTGTGAGCTAGCACGTTTTGGTCCTGGCTCAGACTTTTGATGGGGAAGCTTGTGGCATCTGCTTACTCCTTATCCCCCTCGAGAAGGGCAGTGGGGTCTGCCTGTCTCCCGCAGAGAGGCCAAGGAGTTGAGTTTACTGGAGAGACAGGCCGGAGATGGCAGAATCTGCATCCGGGACTTGGGACCTCAGAGGGCTCTTGCAATCCCTAGGCTGCTGTGCAGTTGAACCGCTTCCTTTCCACTAAATAATGTTTCAAGTTAGGGATGGATTTTAGTATTGACCTTTCCCCTCCATTTCTCTTCTTTCAGAGAAGTGAGAGCTCTCTGAAGGCAGGTCTAATTTTAAAAGCCAGTCAAACGAAGGTGTGCAGGTTAAAATCCACAGGGAAGGCTGACACATTAATAGCAATGACTGGAATGCGAGGTGCTCTTCCCAGAAGACTTCTTCGGCAGACAACCTGTGATTGGAAAGATGATTCGGAAGAACCAAGGCGTTTACAAGTATCACAAACTGAGCGTGCTTGCCTGTCCCACAGAGGGCTCAGCCTGCCCACACCAACCCCCTCCCACCTGCCCCACAGAGGGCTCAGCCTGCCCACACCA